GGGGCTGGGGGGGGGGGGGGGGTGTTGAAGAATCCCCCCCCCCGAAAATTGTTGACACTTTATGGGTTTCATAGGCTTATTTAATCGATTTTAGGGTCTACTAATATGCCGGTCGCGCTACCCATGTTTCTTACTACTGAAACTGCATTACGATCCCGATTACGATGTTCGGAACTTTGTATACAACTTTACCAGGCCTATCCTATTTTTTAAGAATTAATCGCATACAGCTTAGTATTATTGTATTGTAAGTTGCTGAATTTGTAACATTGTTTCAAACTCGCAACTGAATTTTGCATCTGCAAATAAGTTAATAACATGATATAGTTAGCAATGTTGTCTGCTTCATCGCGCTCAATAATACTAAGGAGTGCCAAAGCAGATAGGGCTAGTCACACTTGTCCCATCGTGGCTCTGATATATGGCAATGAGCTTTAGTCATGTAGTCATTACAGAATAGGATAAAAACATATCAATCTATAAATTTGCCAATAAAAACAACTAGGCCTACATTCAGATTTTTTATTATAACTGGAAGCTATAGATTCGTGACTGACGACATGCATCAATTTCGTCATGCTTTTCTAAAAAGTGGTTATTTTTTTACTCTCATTCTCTCATTTTACTTCAGCGCTCCCAAAACCTTTAAAATTTAGTTTTAAGCTTTGAATAGGCCTATATTCCCCACCCCCACCCCCTCGAATAAACTTCCCGGGTTAGACTAAAGTTGGTTAGACCCTCATTTTACATGCGTCCTTCAATCCTGATTTATTGTACTACTATATTTAATTTTTTTAAGTTTATATAAGTGTATGTTGAACTTTGGAAAAAGAGCAATAAAGAGACATTTGAACTTGAATCCATTTTACACAGAAATATTAATAACATAAATAAATAACGGCTCTCGAACTTCACATTTTGCAAATCGTCACGTGCTAGCTGTCCGTGGTTCCATCACGTGACTGTACAAATTATTATTTGCCGTGTTTATTTAATACTCTGAATTCCCTGTAAATTACCTCTTTGCATTCAGCTCAATTACATTAATGATATATTTGGAATATAATAAGATTTTAACACTTATTCAACTTAGCTGATACTAAATAGTTACAATAAATCTACTTTTATATAATTCATTGAAAAGAAGCTTGGTAAAATTATGATTTTTCTTTGTAAACCATGCGGCAACGCTGAAAGTTTAAAGGTAGACCAGGAAGCAAAACAAAACAGAACAACGAAAGTGAATGTGAAATGAGTGGTGAATCGAGCAGTATTTTGAGTATAATGATTGATTTAAACATTTGAAGAATATTTAAAAATAATGTTGAGGTACCGGGAGACAGAGAATTCCCCCTTGTTAGAGAGACAGAACTCTTCTGACGTTCGTCGTAGAGTCAAAATAAAAGCTGCATGTATTACAATATCGTCGACTCAAATGTTGGAGAGAGTTGCGTTTTATGGTGTGTCCGCAAACTTGGTTTTATTTCTGAATCAAGAACCACTTCATTGGCCTGCAGATGATGCTGTTCAAACGACTTTTATTTTCACTGGACTGGCTTACATGTTTGCTATTGTTGGTGGCATACTTGCAGACTCAATTTTCGGTCGTTTTGTAACAATCTTGGGAAGTTTTATTATATATATATTAGGAATGGTACTTCTAACGTTTCTGGGCCACGCAGCTGAAAATGTCGAGAATGCTTTTGTAGTTTTGTGTGGTAAAAACATCGAATGGGTGAAGATGAAATTTAATAACCCAGGTCCTGTGACGACAGACGCTACTATGCATGGTAACTGCAGAACTCCAGTTTACATTGCTATCGTATTAGTAGCTATAGGATCTGCCATGTTTAGAGCAAACATTTCACCGTTTGGAGGTGATCAGGTAAGACTTAAAATCCCCAATACGAGGAACTTGTATATTGGATGTTATAATGGGTGGGTTGCATTGGACAAAACATGCATTATTCAATCATTATTAAGGATTAATGTAACAATCTGTGCCTTTTTTTTTTTTCTTTTTTTTTATTGTAGAACAACAGGATACATACTGTAAGAATGGGGCGCTAATGCACTTTCGCACCTAACTTTTAATTCTTAATTTTTTTACCTGAATTTTCTTCTCACAGTCACAACACATAATTATAAATTAAATTATTACTGATTGCAAAATGGCAGCCGCTCGTCGTGCTAGCAAACACAGATTCGCTGTACTTATTTGTGGGCTTATTTGTTGAAAAAGGCACTTTGTGAGTGGTTAAATTATGTGAACATGTTAGTTAATTATATGTTGTGACTGTGAGAAGAACATTGAGGTAAAAACTTTTAAGAATTAAAAGTTCTGGCAATTTCTTAATGATTGCAAAATGGCAGCTGCCGCTTGTCGTGCTAGCAAACACAGATTCGCTGTACTTATTTGTGGGCTTATTTGTTGAAAAAGGTACTATGTGAGTGGTTAAATCAGGTGAAAATGTTAATTGTTAATTATATGCTGTGACTGTGAGAAGAACGTTGAGGTAAAAAAATTAAGAATTAAAAGTTAGGTGCGAAAGTGCATTAGCGCCTAAGAATGGCTGGTTTTAGTAATAATTTTTTTTTTCCCTTGAAGGTAAAAAATGAAAGTACAACAGTGATGAGAGCCTTCTTCAATTGGTTTTACTGGGCCATCAACATCGGTGCATTTCTAGCCTTAGGTGGTGTATCCTTCTTACAACAGAACATAAATTTCTTTATTGGTTTTATGGTGCCCGCAGCTGCACTGGGCCTTTCGATGATTTTATTCATTTTTGGACGACCGGTTTATGTAATAAGAAAGCCAACTGGAAGTGTGTTGGCCAACATTGGCAGAATAGTAGCGGAGGCCTTCAGGGGAAGGTCGCGAAGACGGCGTCATTTTGCCAGACAAGACAGGTTTGTTATAATTTGTTAAGTCAGTATGATAATAAATGAACCATCATAGAGTACTACGTTGTTACTTTACTATACACCATTTTTGGCGAAATTTAAAATGAAATTGCCGATAACCTGGCAACTACCACTGGGTGACTTTCAGAGGCCTAGCATTTCGCTCTACATACTTACCATCATGGATTAAATCAATGGTGAAACTAAATTGTTACTAACAAGTACAAAAAGTCTTAAAAAGCTATTTCAATGTTTACAGATACAGTAATTATGCACTTGTCAATTGTAGTCCTGGCTCCCAGACCCGGGCCTGGCGGGGACTTAGTCCATTGATTCCAATTTTTAATGTAATTATTATGGTTTATTTTTCTTTGTAAATTTTAAATAATGATAACTGTATAGTTTGATAACTAATATAGGGTGATCTTTTGTGTTTTTAGTACATTTTGATGGTAAATTATTAAGTTTTAAAATCCTATTTCAGAAAGCCTATTCTAAACCATTAAGTTTATGGAGTCATTCAGGCGTAATGATCACTTGACCAACATCTGGTTGACAACAAAGGGTGCCACCAGGTTTTGTGAAAACACTTGCGTGGTGCTCTTGCCAGTATCCGACACAGAAATTTGTTATGTCTGAATAAGAAATATGAACTTGATTTATTGTTTTTTCCATTAATATACTGTATATATACAGTATCTTACACTTTTATGATAAACTGTTAATATTTACTGACTATGGCTACTCAAATACATTTGTTAATATTAATTTTTTTTTTTTTTCACTTAATTTAGCAACCACATTCTGAGTCCATTAGCAAAGCCGTCCTACTTGGATATGGCAAAAGTTCGCTATGGTGGAAGTTTTCATGATTCCATGGTGGATGATGTCAAGAGCCTGAGTACCATCATTTTAGTGTTTGTCGCCCTCATTCCATACTGGATAGTTTACTTCCAGGTAAAAGGCAAATCAGTATGTAAAGAATTGGAATTCACCTAGAGTGTCAGTTTATTTAAATACGCCTGTAGATCTAAATATACAAATAATCCTACTTAAATTTTAAAAGGACCCCTCAATAACATTAGGTTTTGTAGGCCATAATTTTTTATTATGTTTTTTTACAATCTCTCTGTTACATGCCACAAAAAACTTCAAAGTAAGATGTCTTTTAGACATTTCTTACAAAAAGAACCAACCCATGAACAGCTTCATATCTTACAATGACACGGTACTATGCACTAAAAATACTTTTTGAAAGCATGTTTCTAAAGCAATTGAAATATTAGCACACATGTTTTTTGTTTGATATTTTAAAGTTTGTTCAACCATATTGTTAACTTTTTAAAATCAGTCAGGTGATTTATTCATGAACGAATGAATTGATATTGCAAGTAGGTGGATTATCGATTGTTCTATGGTATGGTAGTCAATATATTTTAGGCGAGACTTTTCCTTATACATTTTTTAGCGAACCAAATGCTTGCCAATAATGGTGATTACAAATATAAATAACATTTTTACTTTTGGCCAATTTAGCGGACCCGCCGCCACGAGTTTTCAGAAAAAAAATAAAAGTTTTCTTTATTTTTATTTCGCCCGCCATGGCTTTGAAATCTCCAAAAATAAGGAATGTGTATTTCTTCCTAATTACTGTATATAAATTTAAAGAATTTAACCCTCCCATTACTACACTGTTTACATTCACCAATAAAATTTTATTTTTATTTTTTCCTCCATCTGAATGTTTTTGGCAAAACTATTTGCTAAATTAAAAACCAAAATTTCTTTTAAATTTTTTTTTGCCCTCCTATGGCGATCTTTAAAAAAATCAGTTCACAAATCAAGGTATGAAAAAGTCTTGCCTTACCAGAGACTCATGGAATGCACAATAGACACCAAACAAAATAGAATATATGACTTTTTCAAATAATTTATAGATATTTCTACGTGTTACAATGCCGTAAATAGCATAATATATCAAGCACAAAGGACATCAGCAATGTCACGCAAAACGTGTACAAAAAGTATGCAGAAAAAGGAGCATGAAGCAACTAGAAAACTCCCCAGTGCTTGAAATAAATATATTCCTTACTTACCTATATAAATTGCAAATATATTGCTCACAAATGATTTGATTATTTTAAGACCTACCTTGGTTTAACACAGGAAAGTTAGATATATCCCATCATGCTTTTCTCAATGTACTTCTGAGCATGTGCAGAACTTGCCTAAAGAAAACAACATGCACCAAAGATACAGTTTGCAGAGTAAGATCAGCAAGCTTTCTATTCCTTGCTTTTTTGACACTTAAAAGTACCCTGTCGAATTGTACTTCAGACTCTTCAGATTTTGCAAGCGTCTTTAGAAAGAATTTCTGTATCTGTCCTTCCGAGCTTCACATTAAAGGGTCCGGCAAGTATCTTGCACTGTGGCCTGTCAACACCTAGCTACATTGTTGAACAACACACAACATTTATACAAAATATAGAATAATAAGTTGTACTTATGCAAAAATCTTCTATGTGTTAAAAAAAAAAAAAAAAGAAATGTTTGAATAGTTGTGACAATCTGTCACAACAGAATGCAAATTCTCTAAGAGGTAACTATCTGGCGCAATGCTGGACCTCTGCCCAGATAACTCAAAGAAGCTGGGGGCGGATTGCTATAAAACAGTCTTACCTGGTAGTCTTAACTCCTCGAATAAAGCCGGCTTTATCACTTAGACGGTCTTACTAAAGTCATTCCTCTAAGATCATTGCTATAAAACAGTCTTCCCTAAGACCGCTTTGAGTATTGAAATGCAAATAAGCACTCCCTGGTAACGTAAGTTTGAGGGCGACGTCATTCGTGCTCGCGCACGCAAATGTATCAAAATGAACGTAAATAAACGCTGTAGACCTATTTTACAGACGCTGAGAAGTGTGCAGAGTATTCGTCATTCGATTCTCCGACTTTGACGATCTAGGCCTTGGTCTTGCCATTGCACTGTTGAATTATTCAGCAGAACGCCATGATGAAAATGATTTAAGATCGTTTTAAGCCTCCTCCGAGCATGCTTTAAAATTTAAGACGGCTAACTGGTTAGACCGTGGTATAACAATGATCTATAATCGTAGACCAGTAGTGACGTCACAATTATAGCTGGCTAACCGTTAAGACCGTCTAAAGACTGCTTATAGCAATCTGCCCCTGGTTACACATTTGTTTAGAGGCTTTGATACAGATTATCAGAAAAAAATCAAATTTTAGTGCAAGGTGAATGTTTATTTGGATTATAAGGAGGTAAATTTTTATTTTTTGAAATAGTCAATGTTAGGGTGTACTTCCTGGGAGCTCTCAAAAGGTGCATCCCCATGTCCCCACTCAAAAGGGGCCCCTGTCCCTCCTACTACTACCCAGCACTTTACTACCAAGCTTGAACTGTGGTGTAACAAATGTGCTTTCTGGTGCCCAGTCGAAATGGGCCCGGGGAAGGCCACGGGGCCACTACTACTCAGCTCTCTACTAAGCATTGAAAATACAGTAACTTTTTCTATAATTTTCAAAAACCAAATAGACCAAAAATCCCACAAACACACACTTTGGTAGATTTATTAGAAGGAAGCCATTCGTTCTGTGACCCATCATTTTACTATATGGAACTTTTGACAAGTTACAATGTAATGCCTGTGTGCTCTCTGGGGAAACGCCCAGTTCCAAGTCTGAATGAGCAGTGGAGTGCCACAGGGCCTCTCTTACTACTACACAGCACTCTAATTTTCAAAAATGTATGTGCACAATATTAGGTGATTATATTATTGATTAGTCACGTAATATTTTTTGACGTTGTCTAATAATTACTGTAAATAGTCATTTCAATATTAAAAATTATCTCTATAGGAGATTACCCACATCAGTGACTTCATCAGTGAAAATACTTCATTGATGGGTTGCATGGCCCGGTCATGGTACAGACGCAAACCTCTTTGAGTTTACCTAACAAAAATTATCATATCATATTTCAACCCTTACACCTTGGCTAGTGCGAGGAATGGGTATGATGGGTTAAACACCCGGGTTTCACATGATTTTCAGGATAACTAGCCTTGGGCAACGTACATGAGTTTAATAAGTTTTTAATATATTTTTCAGTTTCCATTTATTAAACTTAATGCAATACCATATATTTTTGTATATTAAATTTCCCTTGTTTCACATGATTTTCAGGATAACTAGACTTGTGCAATCTGCATGAGTTTAATAATAGTTTTTTAAATAATTTTCACTTTCCATTTATTAAAATAATGCAATACGATATATTTTTGTATATTAAAAAAAAAATATTAATGTAGCAAATACCAACAGGACTTCCAAATTATCATCTTATTAGCAGTAATAGCTTTCATAGTATTATTTTGTTGATCTGAATTTTGAATTATCTATTTTCATAGATGCAGACGACATTCTTGTTGCAAGGCCTTCATATGAGAGTGACAGTAAAACCTTTATGTCATCACCACAACAGGAGTGAAAACACCACCTGCTTAAGTCATAAAGACAATGTAAGCATTTTTATATCGTATAATGTTTAGTATCATACATACACTCACATTAAGCATATCAATCCTTATCTTGACTGATATGTACATATATGTTTTGAGTCATTAAGTTTGTGTGTGTGTCAAGTTTTTTTTTTTTTTTTTCATTAAATATAGTATAAAAATATATATAAATTACAGTTTAAAACCAGAGGTCTGTGCACGCAATCTATTTCATTTATTTTTGTCATTGTTTTAAATTTGGAATGAGAAATGGCAGGTGGGGACTCAAAATATGGTGCCAGTACCACATGTCCACTGTCTCACGTAACTCCCATGCAAGGGTTATTTAAGGAACCAAGTGATTGACATTACTTCTTAGCCCTTCGGCCTCTCTTTGTCATGTAGACCAGACTCTGAAGTGCTGTTGATGTTTTGCCAATCCTTCCAACATGGTACATAAAATAGTGTGAAATGCTGTTCCAAATTTGTTTAGCAGAGGTTGCAAGACAACAGAAACATATATTACAGCTTTGACTTTCGTAAAAGTTAAACAAATGTATATGTTCCCAAACCAAAGACTAATTACAAAAAAAGAAGTATCTCATATCGTGGTGCTATCGAATGGAATAAATTAAGCCCTGATGTTCAGTCTTCTACCAATTTAACTATTTTCAAAAACCACATCTGTACAAATAATTAATGAAACCAAAGTTAAATACAGTAGTATGAACATTGTATAAATCCCTATTTTGATGTTTTCTTGCCTTGTTTTATTTATATTTTACATTCCTTTTTGTAATTTTCTGTTTACTTTTGTGGAATGGATTTTCTTCTTTTCCATAGTTTATTTTGCCTTGTTAGGTATAGATTACAGTACTTT